AGGGGCCGGCGGACGCTGGAGCCAGCCTTTCGCGTCCGAGCCGGCTGGGGACCCGGCTAGAGACGTTGGTGGGGAAGTGGGGGCGCTGATCGTTGTAGGGGAGGCCCTGGGAGGGGCAAAGCCCTGGTCCCCAGGAGGACGAGACGAGATGGGATCCCAGGGGCGGGACTCCCACGGCGCGAAGGCGAGGAGCGCGCGTCTCACTCTCGGCCCCCGAAGGGCGGGGAGCGGAGCCGCCGGAGGACCGGCTGCTGGGGCTCAGTCGGCAGCTGAGGAGGTTAAACAGCCCAGGACTGGGACGGGGGGCGCCCCCCGGGGTTGCCAGGCAGCGCCGAGACCCGTGGAGCACCGAACCGAGAAGCTGCGAGGACTTTCCACAGTTAGACACTGTTCCCGCGATTCGCAGGCCCCTGACGCCAGCCCCTTGACAGTCACCCCCAGGGAGCTACACAGTCTCCATGATCTGGGGGATGAGCTCTTGGATTCCAGCTGCAAGTAGGTACTGAGGAGGAGTTTCCCTTTTACTGAAAAGCTCTCGTAAACTCAGGACAGATGATGAAGCCGAGACAGTTACTCCTGCTCCCAGTCACCCAGTCTGTTTCTGTGGCCCTTTGTAGCTGTTACAGTGCTAAGTCATGAGATCTAGATTTCATACCCGGGTGTAGGTCGTGGGCTTGAACTCTCTGAACCTGTTTTCACTTTTTAAAAATTGAGATAGTACTTTGCGGTGTTGTAGTGAAAGCGTATTGAAAATTATAAACCACATCCGCTCATCCTTACCCGTAGGCATATTCTCCATTTCTTGCACAGTGTCTGGAATGTAATAGGTGTTCCAAAAAAAAAAACAAAACTTTTTTTTGGCGGCTGGCCGGCATGGGGATCCGAACCCTTGATCTTGGTGTTACAGCTCTGCTGTCTAACCAACTGAGCTAACCGGCCAGCCCCAAATTACTTTCTTGTATGAATAAAGGAGAGTTGTGCATTTTTTATTATTTCCTACATTTCATTAAGAACTGATAGAGGAATGTCTTATTTGTTCTTCCTTCAGGTTGGATAAGGGCCCCAGCAGGTCATCTTCACCGTATTCTCGTCTAATAAATAATTTTCTCAAACCGCAGAAGCTAACAAACGTGGAGAGGAGGTTTAAAGAAAAAACATTGGTGGAAATGATGATGCTGAACAAGCAAATAAAACAAACTCAAATCCAGCAGGAACTGTTACTAGAGGAAAACAGGCAGCTATACAAGGAAAAGTTACTTGTCCAGGCTGAAAACAAACTTTTCCTGGAATACCTGACCAAGAAAACTGAGGAGTATAGAAGGCAACCTGAGAAACTGTGGAACAACTATTTACAAAAAAGTGGGGAAATTGAACAAAGGAGACAAGAATCAGCCTCCAGATATGCAAAACTAACTTCAGTGCTTAAAACTGAGTTATTGCAGAAGGAAAAGACCCAATCCATTTTGAAGCAGCAGTTGCAAGCAATGAGGGGTATTTCCATATTAAAGGAGAAACAGGAGATAGAAATACAGACATTACAGGAAGAGAAAAAAACAGTCCAAGCTGAGGGAGCTGCAAGGAAACAGGAAGTACAGGTCCAGTTGCTCCAGGAAAAAGCGTTACTCGAGAAACAACTGAGTGAGCCAGACATGAGGCAGTTGGGAAAGAGAAAAAGAAGGGAGCTTAAGAGGAAGGCCCAGGCCTTGGAGTTGGCAGTAAGGCAACGTGTTTTTGAGTTCTCCCTTGGCATCAACCGAGAGAACCAGCAGTTGGGGAAGGCATTACTACAGCTGACTCAGCAATCCCAGAAGCTGGAGGCTACTCAGAGCCTGTTAAAAAATCAGAAGCAGCAGCTGCAGCAGGAACAGTGGTATCTAGACTGCGTAATCCGGGGGAGAAAACGACTGCAAAGAAGGCATAGTGGGTGCCTAAAAGGACAGAGTGCTCCAAATACCACACCGAGCCCTCCCCTAGGCACCAAATCAAGATTAATCCAAAGTAATTCCTGAAATAACACTGATTAAGAAGTGGAGCAAGTACTCTTAGCTACTACATAAACCTGGTTAAGAAGGCTTTTGGATTTTAAATTGCTGTGATAAGATATCCATCATGATGTGTTGGTGGGAAGGATTAGGTGCTTTTCTTCCAACAGTCCTACTGGGTATTTGTGTGACTGGCTTCCCTTAACTAGCTTTTTCTTAATTAGCTCTTGTTAATAAACAAGATATTCCACAGACCTCCAGGTAACCTAATACCTGTCCCTAACCTAATACCTAGCCATCTGCCAGACATCATACTAGCTCAAGAAAATCAGTAGTGTGATTTATCACATCTAGCTAACTTAGATTTCTTTATAAAGTACCTTTAAAGATAGTATTTCAGATTGACTTTGAATAGTGCTTTCTGTTCTGTAAGTTATCAATATCAGTTTATCCTTATTCCTTTTGCCCAACTCGGCAGGCAGAAGCAAACTGTTTTTAAGCTCTTTTTAAAGTTCGTGTGGTGACCAGGTAGCTCCTTTTATGGTTTTTTCATGAGTGAAAAAGTACTCTGATAACAGCCAAGTCCAATAAGTTCTAGGCAGAATAACCTTTCATCCGATGCTAAACCCCTATAATTTTAGCTTTGAGTAAATTGAGAAGGTAAGAGAAGATGGGGACATGTATTAGGAGAGCTCTTTTGAAAATGTTTTCTTTGAAGAAACACCTTGTACTAACAAGGTGATTGAATACCTCTGCTTGTTTTAGGAAAACATATGAAAAGAAAGTTTTAAAATATTTTGGGTTTTTTTAGAGTCTTGTGCCATCCATTTCCCTAGCAGCATTCTAAATTCGAAGATGGAAAATTAACTCAAAATTGATTCAAAACTTAAATGTAAGAAATATATTTGCAAACCCTATATGTGATAAGGGATTAATACCCAAAATATAAAGGAAATCCTACAACTCAATAGCAAAAAAAATTTTTTTTAATTTTTTTTAATGGACAAAGGACTTAAACATTTCTCAAAAGATATACAATTGGCTAACAGGTATATAAAAGATGCTCAACATCATTAATCATCAGGGAAAGGCCAACCAAAACCACAGTGAGATAACACCCCATACCTCTTAGGATAGCTATTTCAAAAAAAGAAACAAAAGATAACAAGTGCCAGCCAGGATGTGAAAAAATTAGAAATTTTGTATACTGCTGGTGGGAATGTATAATGGTGCAGCCATTATGGAAAACAGTATAGAGTTTCCTCAAAAAATTAAAAATAGAACTACCATATGGTTCAGCAATCACAGCATCACATATAACCAAAGGAACTGAAATCAGGATCTCGAAGAGTTATCAGCACTCCCATGTTCACTGCAGTATTATTCAGAATAACCAACATATGAAAACAACTTAAATCTTTTTTATTTTTTAAAGTGGTGCATATATACTGTATTAGTCATTTCTCCAGAGAAACAATCTACATGATATATATAGAAATATAAGAGATGAATTACTATGAGAATTGGCTCAGTCAATTATGAAGGCCAAGAAGTCCATGACATGCCATCTGCAAGCTGGAGAGCCAGTAAAGCTGGTGGTGTAATTCAGTCTTCATCTGAAGGTCTGAGAATCAGGGGAGCCAATGGTATAACTCAGACTGAGAACTAGGGTAGGGGTGGGATGCAGCCCTTGTTTAAGTCCCAGAGTCCAAAGGCCCAAGAACTAAGAGCTCCAACATTTGAGAGCACGAGAAGATAGATATCCCTGCTCAATAAGGAGAATTCATTCTCTCTTTTTTGTTCTATCTATGCGCTCAATGGATTACATGATTCCTGTTCACACTGGTGAAAGTAGATCTTCCTTAATCTACTGATTCAAATGCTAATCTCTTCTGGAAATGCCCTTACAGACACACCCAGAAATAATGTTTTTCCAGCTATCTGGGTATCCCTTAACCCGGCCAAGCTGACACACCAAATTAACCACCATACAATGGAATATTATTCAGCCTTGGAAAAAGGAAATCCTGCCATATGTGACAACGTGGATGAACCTGGAGGATACTATGCTAAGTGAAATAAGCCAGTCACAGGACAAACACTTCATGATTCCACTTAAGAGGTAACTGAAATAGTCAAACTCACAGAAACAGGGGCCAAGGGGAAAGAGGAGTTGCTGTTCAAGGTTGTAAATTCACAGTTACTCTCATGCAAGATGAGTAAGTTCCATAGATCGGCTGTACAGCACTGTGCCTACAGTGAACAACACTGTACTGTACAGTGAATTTGTTCAGAGAGTGGATCCCATATTAAGTATGCTGACCACAACTTTTTAAAAATCTTTAGAAGGAGGAATAATAGGTAAAATTTTAAGAATAAAAATATTTATGAATAAATAGTATTATGGCAAAAGCTGAAGAAAGAATTAAGGAGTTGGAAGTTCAGATCAAAGATCTCAAAACAGATAAAGATGAAAGAGAACTTTTTATTTTGTCAATATACAATGTGGTTGATTATTGTGGCCCATTACTGAAACCTCCCTCCCTTCTCTCCCTCCCCCCTCCCTCCCAACAACCTCATATATCTATTCACTTGTATCAACTTCAAGGAATTGTAATTGTTGTATCTTCTTCCCTCCCCCACCAGTTTGTGTATTTATTTATTTATTTTTAGCTCCCACAAATAAGTGAGAACATGTGATATTTCTCTTTCTGTGCCTGACTCATTTCACTTAATTCTTGAGAGAGAACTTTCAAAAGATAAACATACAAAATATAAAAGTGCAAATAACTGAATAGGAGAAAAATCATAATCATCTTGATGGGTGCAAAATAGTTTAATATTAAACATCCACTCATGAATTAAATTCCTAGGAATAGCAGGAGAATTTCTCAAATCTGATCAAGGTTATCTACAAAAAACCACTTATAGAAAATATATACGAAGAGGAAGAGAAACAATCCAAAGAAACTATTAAAAGTGAAAGCAATCTTGCATAAAAAGAAAAAAGCCAGGGCATGGAATCAAGCTAAGGATCCATCATCAGATGATAGATGGAAAATGTGACATATATACACAATGGAATACTATTCAGCCTTAAAAAAGAAGGAAATCCTGTCATTTAAAACAACATGGATGACCCTGGAGAACATTATGTTAAGTGAAATAAGCTGGGCACAGGAAAACAAATACCATATGATCTCCCATATGTGGAATCTAAAAAAGCCAAATTAATAGAAGCAGAAACTACAGTGGTGGTTACCAAGGGCTGGAACATGGTGGGGAGGGGAATCATGAGAAAATGTTGGTAAAGGATACAAAATTTCAGTTAGAAGGAATGACTTCAAGAATCTATAGTACAACAAGGTTACCACAGTTGATAACAATGTCACGTACAGTTGATAACAATGTCACTAGAAGGAATGACTTCAAGAATCTATAGTACAACAAGGTTACCACAGTTGATAACAATGTCATGTACACTTGAAAACTGCAATCACTGAGAGTAGTTTTTAAGCATTCTCACCATAAAAAAATGTTAAGTATGTGAGGTAATGCATCTAGTTTTTAAGCATTCTCACCATAAAAAAATGTTAAGTATGTGAGGTAATGCATCTATTAACTAGTTTGATTTGGCCATTCCACAATGTATACATACACCAAATCATGTTGTACACCGTAAATACAAGCGTACTTCAAAAAGTTCATGGAAGGGATAGAAGGAATGACTTCAAGAATCTATAGTACAACAAGGTTACCACAGTTGATAACAATGTCACGTACAGTTGATAACAATGTCACGTACACTTGAAAACTGCAATCACTGAGAGTAGTTTTTAAGCATTCTCACCATAAAAAAATGTTAAGTATGTGAGGTAATGCATCTATTAACTAGTTTGATTTGGCCATTCCACAATGTATACATACACCAAATCATGTTGTACACCATAAATACAAGCATACTTCAAAAAGTTCATGGAAAAATAGAATTAAAAGATAATATGAATCTTTCCATGAACTTTTTGGAGTGCCCTCAGGTATATGATTTTTGCCAATTAAAAATAATTTTAAAAATTGAAAAAGGAACTATTAGAATAAGGATATTCAGTAAGATCACTGGATTTTTAAAAAGCCTACAAAAAAAAAAAAAAAAACCCAGCATTTCTCTAAATTGCAATGACTATCTAGAAAACATAATAAAAAATAAGTTACCATTTCCAATAGCAATGAAATCAAAGTACCCAGATTTTAGCATAAAGGGATGAAATTCTCTATGGGGAAAACTTTTTAAATCTAATAAAGGTCATAGAAAATGACTGATATAAATAAATGGAGATATTCCATAATATCAGGTGAGAAGAATCATTATGAAATACTATTTTATCCCTGGATTAATTAATATAATCCTAATCCAAACTCCAGCTGTACTCAAGGAACTTATTCTAAAATACATGGAAGTAAAGGTCCATGAATAACAGCCTCGAAAAGAACTAAGAAAATGATACGATGCACTACAGACATGAAGATATAATACAAACACTGACAAAACTAGTATGGCACTAGCACAAAAGCAGATGAACGGACTAAGGAATAGAGAGCTCAGAGGTAGGTTCATTTACATATGGGAACTTAGTAAGAATGGCACCACGAATCAATAGTGGAAGGATGGTTATTTAGATAAAGCTGAGAAAAAAGGCTCATTGCATTGAGAAAAATTTAAATGAATTTCCAGATACAAAAGTTGAGCTGTAAATGCAATAAAGACCTAAACATGAAAGATAAACTATGAAGTCAAAAAAGAAAATATAGAAAGATATTCTCAGACAAAGGCAAGGAAGCATTTCTTAAAATGACAGGAACACAAACCATACACCAAAAAAATAATTTGTACCAAAATTAGTATCTTGTATAAAAAGACATTGTGGAAAGAGTTAAACAGATGACAGATTTAAAAGGTCACTAGCAATGTCCAAAATCGACAAGGATCTAACATACAGAATGTCAAAGGAGCTCCTATAAATCACCAAGATATAAACTCCAATAGCAAATGAAATCAATAATTTACAGAAATGAGCAAAGTATATCAACAATTTACAGAAAAGAAACCCCAAAGGCTAATAAGCCTATGAGAAGATGGCCACACCCACAGAAATCAGAAAAATGCAAGTGAAAATATATTTTAATAGTATTGTTTTAAGACTAATAAACTGGGGGAAATTGCTGGATAATGCCAAGTGCTCCTGGTGAGTGTGTAGATTGCTCTCTAGAATGTCTGCAGCAATCTGATGGTACTTAAATAAAGTAATGATATAGTCTGGCCTCAAAATTCCACACCTGAGTATATATCAGAACTTCTCATACATGCCCATCAGAGGGCATGTATAAAGATGTTTATTGCAGTTCTGTCTGTGGGAGGATAGAGATGCAGGCAATCCAAGTGTCTTACCCCCAGCCCCTGTGGAAGTAGATAAACAATATATGATAAATAAACCACTTGTGACATGCATTAGTTAGAATTGATGAGCTAGCTGTTCCCACAACCACAAAAATAGGTCACCAAAAAACAGTGTTAACTTATGAGAAAAAAATGCTATAACAATATTATTACATATATAAGATAAAAAATGATATCTGAGATTTGCTTCAAATTAATCCACGTAGGCTGGGGATAAGTGTGGAGTTGGCAGAAGTTGTAGATAAAACAATCTAGGCCATAAGTTGATTATTGTTGAAGTTGGTAATGAGTACAAGAAAGCATATTACAATTTCTCTACGTGTATATATTTACATTTTTTAAGTACATGTATAGAAAATAATATAAATCTTACAAACACACAGAGTACACATAATGCACTA